TTATCCGTAGGACGAAGAAAATCTAATGGCGTTTCAATGCGTTAGGACGGAATTGAAACTCGTAGAACGAATTTAGAATCAAGAAGCAGTGTTAGATTTTAGACAATATCTCATCAATTTGTGACTCTTTATCAAATTCAACGGTACGCATGGAAAGGTGAATAAATTTAGAAGTCATCTTTGACAGAAATATTCCATTTTTTGTTTAAATTCGTTCAGAAAATAGAGGTAAAGCGCGTGTTGTGCTTAGTAGGACGGAAATTAGATCAAAAATCCTATAACTAACAAAATATAACTTTTAGAAAACTTCAGCAACGTAAAATTCACGAAAACTCAAATATATCCACGAAAGCCACCAATTGCATCGGATTTTAGTATAAACTTTACTTTGTTTAAACCAGCGGTCAAAATTATCGCTCAGCTGCAAGATAACCGACGCATCACTTAAGCTGCATTTCGCAGAGCTGAGAATGGACAATATTTTCATCTCTTATTCTAGAACGATTATTTATTTTCCGCTCCCATCCAAACCATGAAAAAATCGCTCTCTCAAAATCGGTGAGAACCAGGGTTCTACATTTTCGAAGCTCTAAAATGAACTCGAGTTTTGTTTCTCTCTTACAAACGTGTTCAACGCTTCATTTCTATAACGCCTAGCTAGACTATCAGCAAGAAATGATAATGAAAAAGAAGCACGCTTAAAAGGAAACGCTGGCTGTGGATGTGGATCTTCTCGTCGTTGCATTGCTCATCGCTTTCAATGTATGCAACGCGATTTTCTAGTTAAACGAAACCTCATTATGGCTTTCAATCCCCTTTGACGAACACTCTAACACCGCTCTTTCAATTTGTTTAAAATGCGTTATGTCCCGTTTTCGTTAATTTTTTTTAGATAAATATGCACTCAAAGAATAAATCACATATCCAATGGAAAATATTCATTAGAATATCACATAACTTTCATGTGATATCATAATTGGGAATTACACCACAAAATCACATGAACCTTATGTGTCAAATGAAATTTAAGTGATTTATCATATAGAACTCATGTTTTGTTAATGGAAAATTGGTTTTGTTAATGGAAAAATATTATGTGCATTCCCAAGAGAAACTACATGAAAACTTTTTTCAGTGTGTGGATGGAAGATAAATTAAACATATTACGTGTAATCGTCAAGTGTTTTCACGTGAGAAATGTTTTAAATATGTATTTTCATTTTCCGTCATATACGTCATGAAACCTCTGTTGATGTGTTTCATGAAAGAGAAAACTATCAAAGTCGAGCGCTCTTTCGCTCATCCGTTTCACCGAAGCTTGAAAAGAAGACTAATGGAGCGACGGGGGAAAGAGAGACAAGCGATTGAACATTTCTAGATAGAGCTGGAATTAGGGCGTAACAGCTTTTGTAAACAATGACTTCTTTCGATGATTTCTAGAAAGCCAAGGCTCGCCCACTCAAATCAACGTCATCATCGGGTAGGAGAATAATTCTCCTTCCTGTTGGTCATGTTGGTTTGCGTGAGCGTGCCTTGAGTTTCGAGAAATCATCGAGAGAAGTCATTGTTTACAAAAGCTGTTACGCCCTAATTCCAGCTCTATCAAGATTTGTTTGTGCACGCCGACTGAGGTTCTAGAATGGTGCGAAGCTGTTCGACTTTAACAGAAAAAGAAAGCCAGCAGTCTCTTCGTCGCATCGATTTGGTCGATTGAAGCTGATATTGTGACGCCCTGGGAGAACACTTTTTCATCTTCCATTAGACACCGAAAATATTCGATAGTGTGTTGCTGGAGTCCGAGCAGGAGTGCACTATCTGAGCGTTTGAGCCCAATGTGATGTAAACAGGTGTGTCGATATGAATTTGTCGGCTTCTTTGTTCGCCTGCTGTTTAACCCCTATGTGATCGACAGGGTACCCGGGTACCTTTTCAGATTTCAAGTTAATAAATTATGATGTTATTTTCACGACAGGAAACCAGAATTCAGTGACATCTCAGAACTCATGGAGTGACAACTTTTCGTGAAGAAAGATTTCAAATTGCAGTAAGGGGCTTCTAAAGGGGGGGTCGTGCAATTTTTTACCCTTAAAAACTCGACAAGGGTACCCGGGTACCCACAGAGGCCACTAGAGGCCCTACGGGAACCTAATCCGGAATGGCCGTTCTGGGGACAATCCATCGGATGACCACAAAATTATGATAAACAGTCTCCTGCTGTAAATTCTTGAATTTTGATACCCATATTGCAGGGGTTTCTTCTATGGCCACTAGAGGCCCTACGGGAACCTAATCCGGAATGGCCGTCCCGGGGACAATCCATCAGATGATCACAAAATTATGATAAACAGTCTCCTGCTGTAAATTCATGAATTTGGATACCCATATTGCAGGGGTTTCTTCCCAAACACTTATATGGCCACTAGAGGCCCTACGGGAACCTGCTCTGGAATGGCCGTTCCGGGAATAATCCGTCGGACGGCCACAAAATAATGATGAACAGTCTCTTGCTGTAAAGTCATGAATTTTGATACCCATATTGTAGGGGTTTCTTCCCAAACACTTCTATGGCCACTAGAGGCCCTACAGGAACCTGCGCCGGAATGGCCGTTCCGGGGAGAAACCATAAACTGGTCCTCAAGTAAGCTGAAATTATTTTTGAAGGAAATTCTGAAACTTTGATATCGATTCCTTCAAAATTCTAGCGAAAGTGCCAAGAAAATGCTTAGTTCTGGAACATTATACAGGAAATCCGAATTTCCGGGAACCAGACTATTCCGGATAAACATTGTTGGCAATTTCCAGAAAGAGGATAAGTTTTTGAATCCAATGGTGCCAAAATATTCCAAATCGGTCATAATAGGCCACAGTAGCAAGTATTTCAAATTGTGGGTACCCGGGTACCCTTGTCGAGCTTTAAAGGTGTTTTTTATTGTCGATCACATAACGGTTAAATGTATGACAGAATTTAACTTCACACTCCGTCAACCATTTTAGAACGTTGATAGTAAAGAGCATGCATTTATAAATTCAGGCTCTTTAGGCTCTGAACCATTTGGTGGATTATTTTAACTTTTGGTTGAAATTTGACAGATGGAAAGTTATCGATTAACCCTGCTATCCGAGCGTGGTTACTTTTGACAGACAAGAAGTTAAATTTTGACAACCTTGGCTCGAAAACCGGTCGATCGACAGCACGGGGATTTTCGAACATAGAAAATAACTTTCGAAATGTCACTTTTAACCACGAGTTAAATTTAACTCGGCAAATGGTTCACAGCCTTAGTTGATAGTACATCACATAGTCTATTTTACGAAATGACAGGAGCCTGACAGAATGTGTTATTAATATTGCTTCTCACAGTCGTTAGGCTACGTTACGTTTCTGATCAGCTAATTTTTCAATTTATGAATAAACTTTGACAGGGAGGCCAAAGTTTATTCATAAATTGAAAAATCGGCTGATCAATAAATGTCTCATAAAATTTACTGTTGGTTTGAGCCAACTAAAGACCACAATCAGAGAAAAAGAAGATGTCACTGTTTTCTTTCGCAAGCAATATTTCTAGCGTTCAAAATCATAAGTTTATTTTGCTAGCATTTTAGTACACTGTACTTGAACAATTTCGGAAAATTTGTTGAAGATGAAGATAAACGATCATCGCAGTTAGGACCGTATGATTCTAAACGCTAGATTTATTTTGTTTGCTGCGGTTTGATTGTTCCCTAATAAAAAACATAAACGAATGATAACCCAAATGATAGAAGTATTCCACAAATGGTTTGCATGATACTCGAAACATATGTGGCATCTCTGAGTACTAGTTGTCTCTCACATAACACCGGGAATTTAGTCCCGTACGACACAAGCTCTGTTTGGGCTTAAAATCGGGTTCTCGGGAAGGATGAAAAATCATAATCACTGGAAAAAAAATTAGGAAATGGAAACGAAATAATCGGCTGCCACTACCGAGTGAGAAGATGACTACTTTTCTCGAGAGAATTACTTCGTTTATCGCTCTTTATTTTAACTTTTCATTCTCTATACGGGTGAAAAGTGCCGTTTCTCTTCTCACATCAGCGATAATTTCGATCTCTAGTTTAAACGTTATGTTCGATTCCCTAAAAAAAACTATTGGATATGAGTTTACGGTTGAGATATGTTAAACAGTTCAGTTGCATCAATGCCGAAAATAATCAGTGTATGTCCTCACAAAGCGCTCACCTTTATCGGATTTATGATGTTACTTAAAGGGTTTGAATTTTTAATGTTAAGGTTAACTCTTTGAATTGATTTATTTTTATTTATTGATTTGTTTATTTGTTAACTGAGAGAAAAAAAAACTATGATTTACATCATATTAAAGCCACTATACTTATAAAAAAAAATAATCTCTTTATGATGGTGTAGTGAACGGGACTTGGTCAATTACACTCAATTCTGTTTTTTAACGCGATTTTTTTTTCGATTTTGGTCTCATTTAGGATGATTACAGAAATGTGAATACCATCATATTTAACTTTTTGAAACAAGTTACACTAAATTTGGTTGCAATTTGAGATCACACGAAAAAAATCGATTAAAAACAGAATTGGTTGGACTAACAAAAATCTAACTTACTAGAAACGAACTATTGACAACTGTCTAACTTATTTTCGATAGTTGTCAACGTACGACTAAATAGCTGATTTGTTAGAATTAAAAAAGTTCTTTTCATTCGCCAAAATTTACCAAACTACCGAAATGAATGTGCTCCATTGTTTCGATTGATTTTACAAAACTTTTCTCTCTCCTCGGCAACCAAATACGAAGGTATATAAAAATCCCTTGTTTCGATCAAAGTAGGACATAGGGGTGAACTTAATTTACAAACTTTCTATTAAAAAAAAAAACAAACAGAGAGACATTCACTTCGGTAAGTTTTAACACTAAAATATTACTCCCCATCGCATAGTGGTTATTAGATTGATTGACAGAAACACGAAAGAAAAACACGCTCATATCAACTATTTTCTGAACCAGTCATCCGTTTATTTCTTTGCTCGAAAGTGTGTTTGCTTCATAGTGTAACCTCTTTACGGGGTGAAACTACAAATCTCAAACATCGTGTTTGTTTCTCGACAACACAGAACTAATCCTACTAGACCTAGCGAATTTTGTTTTCAACCGAATGCCCAATCGAGTTCACAATCATAAGTTTTCGTAAATTTTGATTCAAGCCAATTAGGGGATTTATAACTGAATAAGAACAACAACATGACTGCAACGTGACGCCGCGGAATGGAAAGCGGTGACGTCTCTAAGCAGTGCGCATCGTCGCCGTCGGCATCGTCGTCGTCGCGGTCTTAGATTCTGCCAGCGAAGAGTCCCTCCCCGCGCTGGGTGTCCCACTTTTCAATCCAAGCATTCGGGCACAGATCGCCGTACACGTGCTTAAAGTACTGGCACACCTTGTCACCCTTGCCCTTCACCTTCTCGCAGCGGTGAAAGTCCAGATAGCTTTGGTAGCAGTACTTGGTTTGGTTAACGTTCGGGAAGCGCGGATCGAAGGGAGCCGCCTTCAGTGGGAGCGTACCGGTTGCTGCTGGGGCCATTTTTAGCGATTCAGTTCAAAGGGGCTTCAAGATGCGAGTTTTAATAGAAATAGATGAAACAATTGGGCTTTAAATATCAATCCTAACCGGATGCAGTCATGCACAAATTACTTTGACTTGGTGATTGATCAACTGCAATTTGTGCATGTTCCACGAAACAAAACAGACACGTGATTGAGTCATTCAAGAAAATGCATTTTGACCAGACGGGGAAAGACTTACACACCTAAAATTCTTACAAGCGAAAGGCAACAAACTATGCATTAGGTAAATAAACGGTCAGTGATGATCTGTTTTCCGGGTCACATCCGAAATGCAATCCATTTTCCCTTTAGTTAGTCAAAATTGGTTGGAAAATTCATATCGATTGTTCTTACAAAATAATGGTTACAGGAATAATACGATAAAGTCATACATCATTCACAATCATTCCGCTCATTCATCTACCGAAGAGAAAAAAAATATCACGCCAGCACTACCACGGTCTGAACCCCCCAATACTCTCTATTTAACCAATGGCCGCGTTTTGGAGTCGGCATCGCAGGATGCATTTTTGTACTTTTTGACCTCCTGCAGATAGAGATTCCATGCGTCGTTCGGTGTCTCGACGTACGATTCTTCGATCGGTTTTGGCTTCTTCACTATTCCCGTTTTGAGAATCTTCCCTCCCCTTCTTCGACCCACAATCGGTACCGGTACTGGTTGCGGTTGGGGCTGCTGGATCACTTTCACTTGAGTCGAACTAGCTACTGTTGCTATTGCTACTGCTGCTGGTGGAACTGCCGCTGCACTGCCCCCAGGGGGATAGTACTGACTCTGTGCGGCGCAGCACTCTTCTTCCACCGGAATGACTTGCTGTTGCATTCTCTTAAACATCTCCAGGAAGGAACCATCGTTTGCAAATCCCGTTGCAGTGTTGATCGCAGGCGAAGGTTTTGGCTTGGGATACAATTTACCCTCGGCTGCCAGATGAGCTTGCAATTTTTCCTGCATCTTCTTCTGGAACTCGATACGTTCCTCTTCGGTTTGAATCTCCGGAACGTACTCCATCTTGGAGCTACTGCCGTTGGTATTTGCGCTGAATGTTTTGCTAAAGCTGGCCTTAGGTTCCGGCTTATCAACAACCGATGAACAACTATTGCTATTCGAATTATCCGCATCCATTGATTTCAACTCAGATCCAGTCTCGCTATTGTTTGTTTCGTTGCGCGATTTTGCACTGGCTGCTGCTGCTGCCGCTTTCATATCGGATAGTTTCCTCAAATTTTGCAGCTCCTGTTCAATCTCAATCGACAGATCTCTCCGACCTCGTTCCCGGTCCTTGGAGTAAGTACTTCCTTCCCGAGAACGTGACCCATCGCGCTGGCGCTCGCGCGATCGCGATCGACTTTTTCTACTGCGATCCCGTTTACTACTGCTGCGATGGTCACGTTCTCTATCTGATCGCTCCCTATGGGAACGCTCTCGGTGCCGATCTTCCCCCCGGTAGCGATCGGTGGTCCGGTGGCGATCATCCCGATGATTGTCATCGCGTCGACGTTCACGACTCCGGTCTCGGTTCCGGTGCGGGCGATCCCGATCCCGATCGCGATCTCGATCTCGCTCTCGATCTCGATCGCGGTGCCGCTGCTCGTCGCGATGCTTATCGCGATTCGACGAGGAACGGGGCTCTTCGTCCTGCATGTGATCGCCTGATGGACGGGATTGGCCGGTGAAGGTCAGGATCCTGAAAATACACAGTACTACACATAAGCAACAGTGTGACCAATTGCCTTTGCGGTTGATGTTTCCCAAAAACACGGATACAAGAACGAGACAGGAAGGAAGAGCAAAGTAGGAGGAACTCAAAATAGGAATGGGTGTGTGTGTGTATAGGTTTCACAGTTTACTGATCCAGGTGATAAATTTGCTCGGATATGTAGGTTATTCTGATTTTGCCAATCGTAATTTTAGGTCCACTGGCAACATCTTTAAATTTGTTGCAATTTGACAACCAGCCCTCTTGGAAGGCATTCCTATTAGTTCAAGTCGTAAACCCTTTGGTTTACCAACGGGTGTTCAGAATCTTCAAGTTAAGATTCAATCGTGTACTGCCGGTGGACGCATGGTTTTCCCATGTCTGTGTGAAATCCCATAGCTCATGGGAAAATCTATAGTACACAGTAATAACTCGATTTAGACAGCCCGCTTTTAGAAAATATTTTGTAATATTCTAATTCTACGAAACCCATGCCCTTATTTAGTGGTCTTATTGCACCAAAATACACAATAAACATCTATGTTGAAGATGAATGAGAAAGATTTGGAATTACGGTTATGTGTAATTATTGATAGGTACAAGTCTGATGCTGACAAAATCGGGTCATTACTGTAATATTGATCTATAAAATTAAATGCTTGTGCTCTAGTGTTGGCGATTAGAAAAAAAACATTTGAATTACAGTGAATTCTCCATATCTCATTAGGTGGCCTCTTACTATAGACTATGTCGATGGATATCTCGGTCCCTCCAAACGGTCTAAGAGGCTAATTGAGTTCTCTATATCGATATCCTTCTATCTCAGCGGTTCCCTAGAAATCCCTAGAGATATGGAAAGCTACTTCTACTTCTTCTACTACTACTTCTGTGTACAGCAAAGGACACCCAGGCCTTAGACCTATATGGTAAGGTAAGTAAGAGTTGGCTGTTCATAAACTACGTAGACAGCTTTTAGACCTCCCCTTCCCCGTGTAGGCCATCGTTCTTACAAATGTTTAGAAATTTCTATGGACCGTAGACACTCACCAACCCCCCACCCCCTAAAGTGTCTACGTAGTTCATGAACAGCCCCTAACTGTATATCCAAAATCCAGAGACGATGTTAAATAAGAGACGGAGACGCGCAAAGACTGCAGCCAGATTTTCAGCCAGATGCTGGTTTATTGTTGATATTTAAAATATTATAATTGAGTTATAAGTGAAATTGGACAGGGCTGGAATATTATTGTTATTCACCAGCTGTATTCTCGTTTTTTTTCATGAAAAATTCGCTCCAGCACAACGAAATACATCCGACACAGGCTCTGTAACAAAGATCAACGCGTTTCCAGGGTAATTTTTCAAGATAGTAAAATTTGTGAAAGACTTCAAATGAAGAGATTTCTTTCTACATGTATGAGCAACAATAGCAGATTGAATAATTTTGTGCAACGCTCTGTAGAATATACCCACCAATGTATATTTGGTTTCACTAGAATTGTCACAAATTGAGTCTGCAAATACTTCGATTGAAATACGATATAGGTACGGTTAAAAAAGTAATCATTTTACCGTGACGCTGAAGCAGACGACAGTCGCTCAAATTAAAAGTCACTCGAAGTAAACACAACATTGAAGTTTCCAAACCCTGCAGAAAAATAACTTAGTTGGCCGTGCAACCAGATTTACTTTAATTCTCTCCGCGCGTCTCTGCCAAAATCCCTTCAAGTTGAGAACACAATAATTGATTGACAATTACGGCTGTCTTAACGTCTTTCAGCGGCGTCAGAGAGTAAATCTCGACCAACAAAAAAGGGCAGCCCAGCATTTGTAAACAAAATTAGTAATGCTCTTTTCTCGCGAACCGAAGCTCGCCTTACCAAACCAACAACGGCTCTACCCCGTTTAGCAAAATTCCGTTTGATATAAATGACATTTGGCATAAACACGAGACAAGAACACATATTCTGTTGATGTACAGCCAGGAGGCAATGGAACTATTTATCGATATAAGTAGCCGTTTTCCACAAGTATGCCAATTATGCCATTATGTCAAACGGCAGTTATTCCAAATGACATAATGCCAAACGCAAGGTGGTCAGTGAGTTTTCATTTATAAATTCCTGGTTTTCCGGGTTCAAATTAAAAAAAAAAACAAATCCCATATTTATAAATCTATTTAAGTCCTGGAAAGTTTTCGAGGCTATGCAAGTTGTAAAAAAATATAGAACACCTATCATGGAGACCAGCAAGTTCCGATTAGCAATTCCTCCGTATTTCCCCCGGAATTTTGAAAATATGCGAAGTCTTCAAACTGTATCTATGAAAAATCACTCAATCCTTCCTCTAAAGTCATTTTATGATTCTCAAGCATTCTCTTAAAAATCAATTCCGTTCATAGAGTTATTTTCTGAATTCTACTAAAATAAATTTGAGATTCTCTCTGGTAGAAAAACAGGTAGTCACGAGACGCCTCTGTGCTACAATGAGTGGTAGACAATTAAAGACTAACTAAAAGTAAATTGGTACGCCCCTCGAGGGCCGCTAGCACGCCTCTAGAGTTGGGAATCGAAAATCTTTGACAGTGGTTTGTTTACACTTCTATAGAGAACAACTGGTGCAAGTTTGATCAAAGTAGTCGATCGCGTTCAGAAATAACGTCAAATGGAACTTGGAAAGAAGAAAACATATTTTACACAAACACCAGGAAAATCCGGAGTGGTTCGGTTAAAAGCTGGCTACTGAAGATACCGAAAACAACAGTTTGTCGATTGCTCAAAACTTACAAGGAAACCCTGAGTCTGGAAGGGAATCAGCAGACCTACGAAAAAACTGGAACCAGGGATCGTCAGGTGCGTTAAAGCCAACCCCGGTCTTTCGATCCGAGATGTGTCCAGAAGCTACAACGCCAACTTTCATACGGTGCGGAACATCCTTGCCAGTAAACATCCGAACCGGCACATGAAGCTGAATTCCAATGCCAAAAAGCGTGCAAGGCTCTTGTACGACCGTGTTTTGACGAAACACAAAGGCTGCACTTTGATCGATGACGAAACATACGTCAAACTCGCTTTTAAGCAGCTTCCCGGTCAAAAGTATTACGAGAGTACTACGACAGGCCGAATCACGAAAGGCAGAAAAAGCTCGGGAAAGCGACAAAGTGGACCGGTGCGAGCGCGCGCTCCACTTTGTCGCTTTCCCGATTCGGGCTTTTGTTAATTTGTTTTTAATAAATTAAATAACATTACTAAACTAAAGTTACAATAATAATTATCCTGCATCTTCAAAATAAAATATAATAGAAGATACTTAATAGCCATTCGATTTCCGTAATGAAAATTTAAAAAAATTTGGGTAGCTTTAGTTTTATGTTTGCTTGAATGTTTAACGACGATTTAATGACAAGATGGCTTCGTTTTTTTTGTGAATGCGGACAATTCAACGAGGCGACTCAGTTGTAAAAGCAGAAAGGCTTCAGATGCTGAATGAGAGAGAAAGTGATAGCTAGCATGTATTTTCCGGATGTTTGAGATGGCTTCGTTTAAGATGAAATTCAATATAGGAGGTATTCTCAAATCGAAAATCGTCATTAGCAGCGTTTTGCTGAACGTTCTAGTTACAAACATTCAACTGCTTGCGCAACTCGCTACCCAATCAGAATGTTGTGTATGCGTAAATAAACCGTTTACCTCTATCGCATTTCTCATGTCTTTACCCTTCTCTTACCCACAGTCAGCAAGTGAGAACACATCTATTCATTTTTTGTGAATGCAAACCATTTAACCTGGGTACTGCGGACTCACTCAATGTTCTTGTCACTTAGGAGCCAGTGTGAACTGTCAAATGGGAGCCAAACATTCAGAAGTAACACATGCAATTTCTGTTCTTATCTATCGTGAAGCATTGTAATATCATAAAAATGATAAATACTTTTTCATAACACATTCTTAATTTTAAGCTCTAAGACCAAAACCAAAGGACTCAGTGATGAAAGTATAAAAACCAGCATAGTTTTCAATTGCAGTAAAACATACTTTGGCGAAACATGTATGTAAACAAACTTAGATAGAGTCATGAGGGCTCAAGTACTCCTGGCTCAGAGTTGTTGGCGGGAATACACTGAGAAAGAGCAAAACAGTTTTAAACTTGAGTAAATTTTCAAGCAATTTTCCATTGGTTTGAAAAATAAAATCGATCGACTCCGCAGTACCCAGCATTTAACGAGCCGAGTCGGTTTTGCGAGCAGAAAGGCTAACAGATTGTTTGGATGCGGTTTTCAACCAATTCAGTTTTTGATAAATTTTCGGCCTTTTTGGTTTTCGGCCTTTTTGGTTTTCGGCCTTTCCGATTTTCGGCCTTTTGTGTTTCGGCCTTCCGTACGGGTCCCAAGTTTTACATCGCGACTGGACTTGGGGATGTGCCGGGAAGATTCAAGTTCGTGTTTGCCGACAAGTTCGCGAAGAAGGCCGTGATTTGGCAAGTGATTTGCAGTTGTGGCCTAAAGACGGAACCATTCTTCACATCCTCGACGATGACATCCCAAGTTTACATCGAAGAATGCCTGAAAAAGCGTGTATTGCCGATCATCCGCAAGCGTAGGGGCAAAGTCATCTTGTGGCCCGATTTGGCCAGCCGCCACTACTCCAAGGTGCTTCCCCAAGCTAATGAATCTCGACCAATCGAAAAATACTGGGCAATTTTAAAGCAGCGATTTCGACGATGCGGCGGGACAGTCAAGGACATATAGCAAATGCGGGCAAAATGTAAGAAATGCGCTGAATCCGTGTCCGTTTTCACTGTGCGGGCACTGATGGGCTCCACCAAGAGGAAGGTTCGAGATTTCTTTCGAACTGGAGAAATGTATCCATCTAATGCTGTATTTTGGAAGTTTTAATAAAAGTACTGTAAAGCAACCATTAATGGACTTTTTAAACTTATTGAATCACGAATTAACAGTCTTTTTGTGCGTACCAATTTACTTTTAGACAGAATTTAACAGTCCAACAAATCTCTGCAGAAAAATCTATGAAACTCTTCTCAAAACAATGGTAAACTTTTTCTTGCTTGCTTAATTTTTTTTAATTCACTTGAATTCTCCTTGAAATTCCCATGCAGTTCACCTCAGAATAGTCTTAAACTTTTGCTCAGAATTATATTGAACTAGATATACTCTAAAATCCTTTGAAAATTCACGTAGAATTCCCTTTAAAATTAATTTGATTCGAGATCTCTTTGAAATTATCCTCGGAATTTCCTTAAAACTCTTTGCATAATTTCTTTGGAATTGTAGCCTCAAAATCGCCCTTGGTATTTTTCACCGATCTTGGAAGCCTCTACACA